ATCTGTAACAAAATCGAGGCCCTTAGACCAATCAGGTCAGACTCGGGGGTCAGGAGGCCTTCCAGGCTCCCAGACGGCTGCGCCTCGGCTTCCAGCCCATCAGGGATTTCCCAAACCATCGGAGCAAAATGCCTCGTTTTTCCTTCCTACTTCATTTTGACACTTTCTCCTTTCCAGACCAGTGAAAAGGACTGGATTAACGCTGCTTGCTGCTATCATACAACCTAGAGAAGCATTAACCATCTTGCTATTTCATAAAATATTGGAGGTGCACATGGTTGGGGGGAGGAAAGGAGGGATGGTTTTCCTCATCCTGGCCTGTACCCTCTCAATCTGGGACCCCTCGGGGGAATGTCGAAATGCCAGTTTAGACCTTAAGCTGGCAGTCAGACATCCCTCTTTCAATCTGAGACTGCTGGTTTCTAACCACTGGCCTGCCTGCCTGATCGCCCCTAACCACCTCTTCCTCAGCCTCCGTGGCTGTGTCCGGAATGACATCCGGAAGGATGTTCAGCTGTCCGGTCTAATAAGCATATTGCACTTTTGTTATAGATCACTCAGGTTCACAATATTGATGACTTTTTGCTGATGAGCAGAAAGTAGCAAATTCTATAAATGCTTTAATAAGACAAGTGAACCAAAGCATGATAAATAAATTCCCCCAAACTCAGGGCTCCCCACACAATGATGTTCCAGTGGTTTGAAGTGTATCAAGATACCATCTCAGGCAGGGTGGCTCAGAACCAAGATGCTGCCGGTTCAATCCTGAGAGGCACATGCCGGTTGCAGGAGCAGCAAGCCAATGATGTTCCTCTCGTGGATGTTTTTATCCCCTTAAAGTGGAAGCAGCCGCACCTCGCACCGCCTACAGGACCCACCGCGGCAGGCCATTTTGGGATCAGAGGCAGCACACCAACGAGTGCCAGCTCGACCCATTGCCAGAGGCGCCACATGGCTCCACTCCCAATGGGACCCAAGCAGCAAGTTCAGGCTGTACCACCACTCAGACCTCATGGTCCAGAGACCACTGGTGTTCAACGGGGTGAGGGCGACAGGAGCCTTGCAGGGCCCGGGCGATGGGACAGCGCAGACTCCGGGGCAGGCAGAGCACCCTCCCCTGCAGGTTGTTCCTCTCAGAAACACGTTTGCTGTCCGTAGACTTAGTGAGGACTACACACCGTTCATAGCACAACAGTTGACCAGGAAACCTGAACATCCCACCCTAAACTGAGTGTCGATGGCCTTGCTTAGCCTTGAGTTGGGGTGGGTAGTGGCCAGTGTGGGAAGGCCATGTCGGGAAGATGCTGTGACCTGAGCAGGTGGCTCAGGCGTCACCAGCGACCTGCCGTTCCCCCCCCCCCCCGCCCCGTTCTCTGACCAGGAACTGAGACCTGCCGACGTGACGAAGGAAACCCTAGAACCTGGGAGCTGGACATTAGTGACCAGCCTTGGAGAGGCCCACAGTGCTGATCCACAGGGGCTCATGGGAAGTCACCAACAGCTCGGATGGATTGTCAAGGACTTGGGAGAGGGCTTCAAGGTTAGTGACCAGACTTGAATGGGACAGAGCTCTCAAAAGGGGCACAGGACAGGCCTCGGATGCAGGTCGTGTCCCCACGGCCCGGTGTGCAGGGCAGACTTGTGGAGAAGTGGCCATCAAGAGAGAGCGGAAGGCCCAGTCAGTGTGGCTTAGTGGTTGCACATTGACCAGGCATCCAACCCAGCCAGGAAGCAGGAGTCCTTTTTGTTTTGCTTTTTAACATTTTTAAAAGGGCCATACATTTTTTAAAGATTCAATGGAATCTACAGCTGCACCTGCCAGCTGCCACCAGGAAGCCTCACAAAGGCTAGCCATCAATTGACATGTTCCTCTCATCAATGTTTCTCTATCCTTCTCCCTTCCTCTCTCTCAAAAGTCAATAAAAATTTTTTAAAGACCGAGGAGGAAGCTAGAATAGGGTCAGTGCCCCTGACCTGCCCTGACCCAGGCTCGCCAGGCTGACGCTGAGCGCTGCCTAGCAGCCGACTCCGGGACAGATGTCCGAGGGCCAGCCGGCTGCCTGGTGGCAGGCGGACCACACGGGCCCCTCCATCTGGAGGCGGCACTCTCCCCTGGAACACACGGCCGCCCGCGCCCTGCCTGCCGCACCGCTGACCATGGCTGCGGCATCCCGGCAGCTGCTTTGTCACGCGAAGGGCGCGGCTGGGGCTGTCTGCTTTTCTGGGCCCACGTGTGCTTCTAACCAGAGGCCGGTACACGGTGCCGGCTGGACTGCTGCTCACAGCGAGTCTCACCACCCGCCCCCCTGCCCTGGAGGGCGGGCTCCGCGGCCTGGGAGGGAGCCTGAGGGGGAGCCCCCGGAGACGCCTGCTGAGGGGAGGCGCCGGCTGCACCACGGGGCCTCCCCGGCACCCCGGAAACGAAGGTGTGGGCCCTCGGTGCACGGCAGCCGGGGTGCCAGGGCCAGAGCAGGTGCGGGGAGGGTCCCCAGGTGCCCGCCGCCTGTGGCCATCAGAGCTGACAGCAAACTTCTCCCCTCACTTACTTACCCGGAGGCCTTCTATGTCACAGCCAGGGCTTGGCATCAGACGTGCGTCCACATGTGGACTGCACAGCGCAGGCAGCCCCACCCCGCCCCGAGGCCAGGCCAGGTGGGGACCAAGGCGCCCGCCCCCGGGCCTCACCGCCCTCCTGGCTGCGGCGTGAGGAAGGGGCGAGGCAGCCAGTGTCGGAGTAAAACTGCTTTATTGTGACACAGACGACTACAAGCGTGGAGGCAGGGAAGGGCACACACCCCACACGGCAGGTAAGAGGCGCAGACATCTCGTACAAACCCAGGGCACAGCCACCGGACTTCCTTTCGATGCCTGTTCCGGTTCCAACAGGCCCAGCCACTTCAGTCATTAAAAACAAGCCGGCACAAGCCCATGCACAAACCCACGGCAGCTTCACACCACGAAGCGCACACGCCAAGCCGACCACACGCGCTCCGGGCCGGCCGGCAGGAGCCCAGCACCGCCCCTGCTCGGAGCCATTTGCACCCCAAAGGGACAGCCCGGGGTTCGGGTGAACGTGAATACGGACGGGGCGGGCGCCGAGACCGTGCTGCTCAGACACGCTTGGTGACGACAGGAGCCCACACACTGGTGGTGGGAGCAAACAAAACCACTTTCCTGAATTTAATAGCTGGACCGGGAGTTCTCTACAAAGGCCATTCCTGTAAGCTTTCACCGCCACAGCCCGCGGGAGGCCGGAGGAGGGGAGAACCAACGAGGAGACGCACTTCAACGTCCACAGACACGCGTGGCCCACTGCCCTCCCCGTCCCGCGTCCTCAGGCAGCTGAGCCGAGCGGCAGCGGCGGCGGCGGCCAGATCAGACCATCTTCGGGAAACGCCCCCGGCAGCAGGCGCAGGGAGACTCAGGCACAACCGTCAGCTCGCCGCCCACTGTGCTCACCACCGAGGACGCCACTCCCAGCACCCTCCCCAGCAGGCACCCCCAGGAGAAAGCCTGCGCCCCATAAACGCAGCGACTGACAGCGGAGCAAGCGCCTCAGCACCTCGAGCCCACGGCCACCGGGCGCGCTCGCAACAGCCGCGACGCGGACGCAGCAGACGAGGGGTCAGCCAGCCGCGGAGCATCCACAAAGGAATCCTACTTGATCGTTAAAAGGAAGTAAGCGTTACCCTTCGCGACGGCATGACGGGACCTGGAGAACAGTGCGGAGGGGAATCACCAGTACCCCGTCACCTCACTGGGCCCCCCAGTGGACAGAGCAGGCTGCCAGCTCCGGGGCAGGCCCGGGAAGGGGGAATGAGGAAAAGGGGGAACAAAACCATGGAGACAAACAGTGTGGGGAGCCAGGGGACTGGGAGAGGGTAGAGGTGGAAGATAATGGCCATCACTCGGGATTTTGCCACGAGGGCGGCTCTGTGGCCGCTGCTTTGCGCACCCCAGCATTTGCCGGGATTGTACCTGCTCTGCTCTGGAGCCCCGCCTGCCAACCCCCCAGCTAGCGCCTGGTCTGGCCCGCGGCCCGTCAGCTAGGAGGGGTGGCATGTTCTCAAAGTGAGAAAGAACGTCCTGATGGGACATCACATGGATTTCGAGCTTCAGTGCTCACCCAGTCTGTGGGCACACAGCGAGCTCACCTGTGGCCACAGAGCCAACGTTCACCCTGGTCTCAGGAGTCTGCTGGCCACGGGCAGCGCAGCTCGGGGCCTTGGTGCCCAATGCATCCAATGTGAGCGCACCCCTCACAGGGCAGTGCCGCTCACCGGGCAGTGCCGCTCAGCCGTGCCAGGGGCTCAGCCGTGCCAGGGGCTCAGCCGTGCCAGGGACGGTGGGACAGGCAGCCGAGGGGAAACACGAGGGAGGAAGAACAGCGGAGCCGTGGGAAAGGCATCGTTTACTCCAGAGGACACACTGTGGCCTGACGCGCACCTGCCAGCTGCCTCCAGGACGCGGGGGGGGGGGGGGGGGGGGGGGGGAGCTGCGCGCACACGTGGGGGCAACAACACAGCGAAGAGCAAGACTCTCTCGAGAAGGAAACTCAGCTCCAGCGTAAGCTCGCTGCATCTGTCACGAACACTGTGGTTATGAAGTCCGTGGCGGGAAGAGCAGGGTGGGGGTTCGAGGCCGGGCACCCCGGGCGTCGGGGCTGCTCTCTGCAGGCAGAGGCCTGAGGGTCCGTGTCCTCCACCCTCAGGCTCTGCTGGCTGATGCCAGGCGCCTCCCTGCACATGCGACACGGACACTCAACACCGCCAGGTCCTCTGGCCTGGCCTCGGCTGCACACAGCGCACTGAGGCGGCCCCACAGCGAGGAGAGGAGATACAGCAGGGACCCCCCCCCCCCCCCAGCACGCCTTCCTCTCGGGCTCTCCTGCTGTGCAGCTCCCAGGCCCGGGCGCTGCTGGGGGATGTGGTGCCGTGATGCTGGGGGTATTCTGTGAGGCTGCCACTTTGTGGCCTTCGCTCTGACGAGCAGAGGTGAGGCTATTCGTACTCCAGGAACTGTTTGTGGTAGAACAGCAGGTACCTGTGGAGGCAAAGGGCATGCTGACGGTCCCTCAGGTCCCCGCACGACCGGCCCTCCCCCTCCCCGCAGTTGGATTCTTGTTTGGATGGGTTTTGGTTCTTAGTCCCCAAGGAGGAGGGTCCTTAGCTGGGAAGTGGCAGTGCCCAGCTCATGCCCAAGCCCCCTAAGCCCACCCTCCGCCCACTCACCAGGAACAGCTCCTGAACTGAGCCAGGAGCAAGGCGCTGCCGGAGCCCCAGCCCGCTCTGGCCGCCAGGGCACCCCTCGTAACGCTCAGGGCGCTCCAGAGGCGGGGCCCGTCTGCAACAAGCCTGCTGGCATTAGCCACCGGGGCACAGGGCCCTGGGCACTACCACCACGTGTGGCTCCGGCCGACGTACCCCTCGCTGTCCAGCACGTCCTCGATGCTGGCCTTGGTGATGATGGCGTCGTCACACTTGAACCACTGGTCCTTGTGCTGCCGGATGAAGCTGGTGTAGTGGCCGCTCTCCAGGGTCCCCTGGTGGTTAACGACCGCGAACAGGGAGTACCTAGTTCGGAAGGGAAGGAGCCGCCGTGACCTCCGTGTCACCACCACTGGAGCCTGCCCAGCAAGGGGAGCTCCGCGACCCCATGGTGCCTGGGAGCCAGAGCGGGCGCGGTGGGCGTGGGGAGGAAGGGGCCGGGAGTCACGGTGACCGCTCTCCCTCCACCCTTCCTGCTCGGCAGAGGCACCAGGCAGGCCGGAGAGCCGAGCCGCGGCAATGCCAGCGAAGGAGGAGCCCAGGCCCAGGCCCAGAGCTCAGGCCCCCAGAGCAGGCGAGTGCCCACGATCAGGGTTGTAGCAAGTCCTTTCCGAAGAGAGGGACGGGCAGCACGCCCGGAAGCGGCCAGCGGCCGGAGAAAAGGCGCGCCGGGAAAGGCTGGGTCCGCCGCTCCCACCCGAGGCCGCACAGCAGGCGCACTCACTTGTTATCGTTACTGAGGCTGTCGGCCGGCTGCTGGTACTGTCCATTCATCCTGCTCTCTTTGCTGCAGCAAACAGAGCAAAACGCAACACCAACAGACTAAGGAACTGAAGCAGAGATTTTCAACCTTTCCCATCTCCTGGCACATAAACTAATTATTAAAATCCTGCAGCACACCAAAGACAGATAGATATGTTTTGCAGATTTGACCCCCACCCCAAAAAAGCTTTAACTGATTCATTCCCGCTGCACTGTTCTTGTGTTGGTTGTTGTCATTTCTTAAATGGGCCACCTGGGGAAGGCGGTCAGTGCCCTGACTAAATGGCCAGGCCCTGCGTGTTTTGAAAACTCTTACGGCACACGGATGACAATCACGAACTACAGGGATGCAAGGCCCAGGCAGCAACAGCAACCTCACCGGGCCTGCCGTGCTGCACCCACTTCACACACCTTCTCTTCCGCCGAGACCGCCGGGAAGGACGCAGCGGCAGTGCCTGCTGGCCTGCCTGGGGGCAGTGCTGCCCGCCTCCCGGAGACACCGCCCACGAGGAATGAGGCCTCCCCGGCTCTGCCAGCTGCTTTCAGCACCGAGTTTGTAGCAGTTTATCACAGTGGCTCCAGGAAACCAACATGTGGCCACTATATTAGTGTCACATTTCTTTTGGAGGGTAAATTTTAAGTGCTCTATAATAATGACTTGAAAACAAGAAAAATGGAACCTACAGCTGCAAACTCAACTATGCTTATCTGTATCCCAAACCAATTCCATCGTCTAACGTGCCACCTTCTTGCTGTGGTCCCCTCTTGACAAGGACTGGCTGGGAAAACCCAAAGCAAAGGACAGCTTAGGAAAACAGCTCATTAAACACGGCGTGTCTGGGCCCTGACCGGGGAGGGGCCTGGGTGAGAGCACTGTCCCCATAGGACACACAAGGTTGGGGGTTTGGTCCCCAGTCAGCACAGCAAATTGATGTCTCTACAATCAAGAAATACAAATTTAAAAATAGCCAGGACCGGTTTGGCTCAATGGATAGAGCGTCGGTCTGCGGACTGAAAGGTCCCGGGTTCGATTCCGGTCAAGGGCATGTACCTTGGTTGCGGGCATATCCCCAGGAGGGGGTGTGCAGAAGGCAGCTAATCGATGACTCTCTCTCATCGATGTTTCTAACTCTCTATCTCTCTCCCTTCCTCTCTGTATAAAATCAATATATTAAAAAGAAATTTTTTTAAAACAAATAAAATGTGCTTTGGGTAAGATCAAGACAGGAGCTTGGCTTTAGCAGTTATGGTTGTGCCAACGCCTTCAATGGTCTCACCACAGACCCAGTGCCGATCCTGACCCCACGAAGCCACAGCCCCCCGGGCAGACGCCCTGCAGAACCCGTACCTGGAGGCCATGAACGGGGTCATGTCCAGCTCCAGGGGGAAGGACACATACGTGGTGATCTTGCGTCGCAGTTTGGCTGAGTGTTCGAATCGCTAGGAAGGGGGAGGGAGGAATGGGTTGTTCTGAGCGTGCCCTCGGGGCTCCCGTCAATGCTCGCTCTGCCTCTGGGCTGAGAGAGGAGCTGAAAGGCTCAGTAAGACAACATCTAGTGAATGTAAAGTATGGGTTCCGGGCAAGTTTGAAATGAAGTTCAAAGTGGTGACACGCTGTGTACAAAGCAGCCTTACAGTGACCCACAGTGCGCCAGGAAGGAGCCCCGGAGCAGAACCAGCACCGGCTCCTCCATGGCACCAGGCATCCAACCCAGCCAGGAAGTCCTTTGTGTTCTGCTTTTTAACATTTTTAAAGGGCCATAAAATAAAACAAAGAGCTCTAGCCGGTTTGGCTCAGTGGATAGAGCGTCGGCCTGTGGACAGAAGAGTCCCGAGTTCGATTCCAGTCAAGGGCATGTACCTTGGTTGCAGGCACACCCCTAGGGGGCGTGCAAAAGACAGCTGATTGATGTTTCTCTCTCATTGATGTTTCTAGCTCTCTCTCTCCCCCTTCCTCTCTGCAAAAATAATCAAATATATATATATATATATATATACACATATATAAATATATATATAATATTATATATATTATATATATATATATAACATAAATAAATAAATAAATAAAACAAAGACTATCAAACAGAGACCACATGGCAGCAAGGCCTAAAACTTACTCTTGGACCCTCCCGGAAAGCACCTGCTGGCCCTGAGATGGTCATAATGCTAAGGGACCTGCTGCTTTTAAAGTGAAAGGAAAATGGAAACTTGGGGTGAGGATGGGAGAACGTAGGCAGGAACAGGGAACCCTAACCCAGCGCACGCCCACCCACCCGCGGTGCCTCCGGGCTCTCCTGCCAGAGCAGGGAGAGGACCGCCTGGCACCCGCCCGCAGCCCGCAGCCCGCAGCCCGCAGCAGAGCGCTGCGAGGACCGCCCGTGCTTGGTGCCCACCAGCAGCTCCACATGCCCCGGGGACTGAGTCTGCTACGAAAGCTTTTCTGGAGAACTTACTTTGAGATGAAAACAGGCTACAATTGGCAGCTTCTTCATGGTGAGCTGCTTAGTTGACTCCTGGTAGCTATGGCAACCACTACATTTGATCTTGGCACTGCTTCCCAAGTGCTCTGGTCTGGTAAATCTACAAGGCATTTAAAAAATGTATTTTACGAAAAAATATGGAAGAGTTAAAAGACAGAAAAGTTATTTTGTCACTTTCAATGGATTCATTTCCCTGGTAAAAACATACATAGAATCATACATCTGTCACATTCTCTCTGTATGACTTTAAAAAATGCTTACATTATAGCTGAAAGGGTAATAAAACAAGAACCATATGAAGGCTACAAGAGACCCACCTCATACGAAAAGGTACACACAGACTAATAGCAAAGAGCTGGAAAAAGATAATTCAGGCACATGGAAAAGAGAAAAAAAGCTGGGGCAGCAAGACCTAGATAAAATATCTTTTAAAACAAGGGTGATAATAAGAGACAAGAAGGATATTACACATTAAAGGGATCAATCCAACAGAGTACGTAACCCTTGTAAACATTTATGCACCCAACACAGCGCACCTCAATACGTACAGCCAATCTTGATGGACAGAGGGGGGACTGACACTAAGGCAGTCACAGGAGGAGAGTAACCCCGTCAACATCTATGGACAGAACTGTAGACAGCAAACCAACAAGGAGATGGCCGCCTTGAACGACACACTAGAGCAGATGGATCTAACTGTTACCTTCAGAGCATTCTTTAGAAGTGGACATGTAATGTTTCCTAGGATGGAGCACATGAAGATACAAAACAAGTCTAAATAAATTTAAGGAAACGGAAATCATATCAAGCATCTTCTCTGGCCATAACGCTATGACACTAAAATCAATCACAAGGCTGGGATTGGTTTGGCTCAGTGGGTAGAGCCTCAGCCTGCAGACTGGGGGATCCCGGGTTCGATTCCGGTCAAGAGCATGTACCTTGGTTGCGGGTGCATCCCCAGTATGGGGTGTGCAGGAGGCAGCTGATTGATGATTCTCTCTCATCGATGTTTCTAACTCTCTATCCCTCTCTCTTCCTCTCTGTGAAAAAAATCAATAAAATATATTTTAAAAAAAAAAAAAAAGTGATGATTTCGATGTAAAAGACAAAGAACGTCCAGGTCAACCACAAAAGTTTGAAGACCAACAATTACAAACACTATTGGATAAAGATGTGTGTCAAACTAAAAAAAAAAAAAAAAAAACTTGGAAAAAGATTAAACTTTGCTCAGCAAACAATTTCCAATCATTTATAAGCAATGAGGAAGATTTTAAAGGAAGGAAAATGGATGCCACATCAACGGAACAAAAGACAAATAGAAAACTGAAAAGTCATCCGCAAAATGTTACTTCTACAGCATGAAAATTCTTTTTGCATGAAATTGCGACTGGCGATGAAAAGTGGATTTATTTTGAGAATCTCAAACACACAAAACCATGGTTGATCCAGGTCAACCATCAACATCGACTGCAAGGCCAAATTGCTTCGGAAGGAAGACAATGCTCTGCCTTTGGCGGGATCAGGAAGGTGTGTATTATGAGCTTCTAAAACCAGGTGAAACTGTTAATATTGATCGTTACCGACAACAAATAATCAATTGGAGCCACACTTTGATCGTGAAACGACCAGAATGTGACAGAAGACACTGCAAAGTAATTTTGCTTCATGATGATGCACCATCACACACTCCAAAACCAGTTAAAGACACGTTAAAAGATCCTGCTTGGGAAGTATTACCCCACCCGCCAAATACACCAGACCTTGCTCCTTCAGATGACCACTTGCTCCGATTGATGGCACACGTACTGTCTGAGCAGCACTTCAAAATGTACGAAGAAGGGGGAAATAGGATCTCTGAATGGTCTGCCTCAAAACAAGGAAAGTTCGCCGGGACCGGTTTGGCTCAATGGATAGAGCGTCGGCTTGGGGACTGAAGGGTCCCGGGTTTGATTCTGGTCAAGGGCATGTACCTTGGTTGTGGGCATATCTCCAGTAGGGGGTGTGCAAGAGGCAGCTGATCGATGACTCTCTCTCATCGATGTTTCTAACTCTCTATCTCTCTCCCTTCCTCTCTGTATGAAATCAATAAAATATATTTAAAAAAAAAAAAAAAAAAAGGAAAGTTCTATTGGGATGGTACCCACAAATAATCTGAAAGATGGGGTAGCTAACAATGGACATTACTTGGAATAAAGCACTTTTGATGTTTCTCCTGAAATTATCCTGTTTTCTTTGATTACAAAACCTGCCATTATTAACCAGTATACCTAGTACATCAATAATGAACTATCAACAAAAATAGAGCTAGAGGGAAAAAAATAGTTTAGGATAGAGGTAATCCTGTTATTTGTAGATTTTTAATAATTTTCTACAACTTTTGTGATATCATACTATGTTAATACAGTTTTGGTAACATTATACTTAAAATCCTTTTATTCTTGAAATATTTATGTTTATTGCATATATTATAAATACTCGTTTTAAAGATCTATAACATCATTATGCTTAACATTAGTATGTAACATTATATTTAAAATAAGTTTTTCTTGAGATAGTAATGAGATATTGGATGTAACATTTAATTTAAGATAATTTTCTTGAAATATTAATGTTTATTGCATGTAAAAAAATAAATAAAAACTTTAAAAAAACCCACATCCAGGGCAGTGGTTGACAAACTGCGGCTTGTGAGCCACATGTGGCTCTTGGCCCCTTGAGTGTTCTAATGGCACTTCTCCCAGGCCGAAAGCCGACTTCTGTGCACGGGCCACGAAGTTTCAATCGCACTGTACATGTGCGCCCCCATGTGGTCTTTTGTGGAAGAACCACACTCAAGGGGCCAAAGAGCCGCATGTGGATCGTGAGCCGCAGTTTGCCGACCACTGTCCTAGGGTGATAATTTAAAAAAAAGAGAAAAGAATAAAGGAAATATATATTGTGTTTTGTTTGTTTGTTTTTTAAATATATATTTTATTGATTTTTTTTACAGAGAGGAGGATAGAGGGATAGAGAGCTAGAAATGTCGATGAGAGAGAATCTTCGACCAGCTGCCTCTTGCACACCCCCCATTGGGGATGTGCCCGCAACCAAGGTACATGCCCTTGACGGGAATCGAACCTGGGACCTTTCAGCCCGCAGACCGACGCTCTACCACTGAGCCATATTATTTGTTTTAATGGAATAAAATATTTTGGCTTTTATCTGAAAAAAAATCATGAACTATCTGAAGCAAAACTAAGAAAACAATCCTATTTACAATTGCTTTAAATAAATCTATCTACCTAGGAATTAAGTTAAGGATGTAAATGACCTATAATCAAAAACTCATAAAACTGGCCAAGACCGGTTTGGCTCAGTGGATAAGAGCGTTGGCTTGGGAACTGAAGGGACCTGGGTTCGATTCCGGTCAAGGGCATGTATCTTGGTTGCGGGCATATCCCCAGTAGGGGGTGTGCAAGAGGCAGCTGATCGATGACTCTCTCTCGTCGATGTTTCTAGCTTTCTATCTCTCTCCCTTCCTCTCTGTACAAAATCAATAAAATATATTTAAAAAAACAAAACAAAAAAAACTCGTAAAACTGAAGAAAGAAATTGAAGATTCAAATAAGAGGAATCATATACCAGGTTCATGGACTGGAAGAATTAACATCATTAAAATACCCACACTACCCACAGCAATCTATACAGTCAAGACAATTCCTATGAAGATAGTAATGGTGTGTTTCACAAAACTAGAACAAACAGTCCAAAATGTTTATGGAACCAAACAAGCTCGGCCATCTTGAGAAAGAAGGACAAAGGTTGGAGGACATCACACTCTACTGCAGGGCGATAGTAATCACCGGAGCCTGGAACTGGCATAAAAACACACACAGATCATGGAGCCGAGAGACATCCCAGAAATAAACCCACGGCTTATGGCCAAGTAACGTTTGACGAAGGAGGGAATAAACTGCAATGGGTAAAACAGTCTACTTAATGGTGCTGGAGAAATTAGACAACTATGTGCAAAAAAATGAAACTAAACCACCTCCTTATCTCACACACAAGAATAAACTCAAATGCACTGAAGAATAAGGCTTAAAAAACAATCAAAGCCCCAAAGAAAACACAGGCAGTTAAATCTCAGACATTTTTTTTCAAAGCAATGTTTTTTCTGATTTATCTCCTTGGGCAAGAAAAGCAAAACAAAAAATACACAAATGGGACCACATTGAAGTATAAAGTGTTTGCGCAGCAGAGAAAAGCATTAACAAAATGAGAAGACAACCCACTGAATGGGAGAGCATTGCCAACGATACATCTAATAAGATGCTAATTCCCAAAATTTATAAAGAACTTATAAAACTCAAAACCATAAACAACTTAATAATGGATAAAAGACCTGAATAGACACTTCTCCAAATAGAACATATAAATGACCAATAAAAATGAAAAGAAGCCGAGACCGGTGTGGCTCAATGGATAGAGTGTCGGCTTGGGGTCTGAAGGGATCCGGGTTCGATTCCGGTCAAGGGCATGTACCTTGGTTGTGGGCATATCCCCGGTGGGGGGGGTGCAAGAGACGGCTGATCGATGACTCTCATCGATGTTTCTAACTGTCTATCTCTCTCCCTTCCTCTCTGTACAAAATCAAATAAAAATATATTAAAAAAAAAAAAGAAATACCTGCTCTAGCCGAGACCGGTTTGGCTCAATGGATAGAGCGTCGGCTTGGGGACTGAAAGGTCCCGGGTTCGATTCCGGCCAAGGGCATGTACGTTGGTTGCGGGCATATCCCCAGTGTGGGGTGTGCAAGAGGCGGCTGATCGATGACCTCTCTCATCGATATTTCTAACTCTCTATCTCTCTCCCTTCCTCTCTGTACAAAATCAATAAAATATATATTTTTTTAAAAATGAAAAGAAGCTGAATGTCACTAATCATCAGAGAAATACAAATTAAAACTATAATGAGGTATTCACTTTACACATGTCAGAATAGCTTATAATCAATTAATCAGCAAACAAGTGATGGAGAGGATGCAGAGAAAAAGGAACCTCATAGACTGTTGGTGGGAGTCAGACTGGTGAAGCCTCTCTGGGAAACAATATGGAGTCGGCCCCATATACTGCCCTCTGCTGGCCATGGCCAGTCGTCACAGTCGGTTAGCTGAGAATCCATCCCCCCATGCCTCGGCGGAGGGCCCCCTCAGTGCAGACTCTGGACGGTCCTTAGCCACAGGAGTGAGGGAGCTGCACCCCGTTCGTTCACACTGGGGAGCTGACATACAAACATCCCACAAGACAAAGCTAGACGGACAATATCTACTCACCTTGCAAAAATGTGACAAACCAGTATGAGTCATTGGGCACCAAGTGAAGCCATTTGCATGTTGTCACACCTTTCCTCAGGCTCCATACCAGACGTGAAAGAAACTACGGAGCCCCGGGGGGCCCTACAGTATCAGGGATTGACTCCTGAACAGCCTCAAGGCAAGAGAGACAACTGCCTGCGAAGAAAGCACTTTATTTTCTGCAGGAGTGCTGGCAGGTTCCTTACCTTCGCAAGCAGTCCGTCAGCGTAGTGGTTCCTGACGCGTGGCTTTCCCCGTTCACCACGCTGCCCTCACTCCCGGGGCTCAGGGGCCAGAATGGGGAGGAGGAGCCAGGCAGATCTAAGCTGATGTCCCAGAAGGGGTCTATGGTGGTGGAGACTCCACTGGAAGCAGAAGGAAAACCAAGTGAGAACTGATAGCCACACACAGTTTCCGAGGTGCCACCTCATGGAGTATAACCCCAACATCCTCTCACAGCTCTACCCTTTTCTTTTCTTTATATATTCTTATTGACTTCAGAGAGGGAGAAGAAGTGATAGAAACATAAATGATGAGAGAATCATTGATTAGCTGCCTCCTACATAACCCCCAATGGGGACCAAGACCGCGACCCGGACATGTGCCCTTGACCAGCATCAAACCCAGGACCCTTCCGTCTGCAAGCTGACACTATCCACTGAGCCAAATCCGCCAGGGCCCCTTTTTCTTTTTTAAAAGACATATGTATTTTTTATTTCAGAGAGAAGGGACAGGGAGATAGAGAAACATCAATGATGAAAGAGAATCACTGATCAGCTGCCTCCTGCACACCCCCTACTGGGGATGGAGCCCAAAACCTGGGCATGTGCCCTGACCGGAATCTAAATATGACCTGGTTCATAGGTCCACGCTCAACCAGAGCCACTGCCGGCAGGGCCACAGCTCTGCCCTTTTATGCAAATGACATCTCAGGTGTATTCGTACCCAATGCATCTTGGGCTCCCAAGGCCCTAAGGAGGGACATAGTGCAAACCACTCAAGACAAAGTCTGCTCCTAAAGCAACAGTTTCTACACCGAGAAGATGAGCACCACTGTTTTAGTTTTTTGTGGGCCCCACGCTTGGAGGTTCTGAATTAATGGACTCTCACCGCAGCGGCCGTGGGAAATGGGAGCTGCTGAGCCTGGGTAGTAACTCAGACCCCAAGCACACTTCACACACAGTGCCCGAACCACAGCTCCCCAGGCTGAACGGCAGCACCAGCCAATTCCCTCCCAGAGATTGACTTCAAAACCAGAGGCCTTGGGGCACTCAGAACGGCCGTGCCCCCTCACAGTCTAGGACCCTCAGAGGATGCCGGCTCACTGCTCCCTAGCGCTGCCTCGGAGGCGGGAGAGGCTCCCGCCATTGCCATAGGCTCACCAGCAGTGAGCCCGGCTTCTGGCTGAGCAGCGCTCCACCTGTAGCTCCTGCACTGAGCGTCTGCCACCCGGTGGTCAGCGCGTGTCATAGCAACCATCCTGCCGTTTTGTCGGTTTGCATATTAGCCTTTTATTATATAGGAGGATATACAATCAGGAAATTCACAGACTGGGAACCTGACTACAGAAAAGTAAACAGGGTCTACTCTGACAGTCTCCTGCTGATGGACTCAATAGGGTCAAATAGTAAAGCCAGAGCCCCAACTGCTGGGAGTGACAGCCCGTGATACAGATGCTACTTATCTAACTCTCACAGGCAAAACTGACTCCTTTCCAATCCTTCTCTCCCGAGCAAACTGCAAGTAGTAATCCATTATCGATTTTTAAATTTTACTGGAGCATGACCAGGCTTTTCTAAAGAGTTGAAGTGAGCCCTGACTGGCGTTCCTAAGTGGTTAGAGCATGAGGTTGTGGGTCGATTCCTGGCCAAGGGCACGTTCCTGGGTTGCAGGTACCATGCCTGATCCATGATGGAGTGCAAGTGGGAGGCAACTAACCAATGTGCCTCTCATATGTATGTTTCTCTCTCTCCCGCCCTCCCTTCCACTCTTTCTAAAAATCAATGGGAAAAATATACCTAGGTGAAGATTAACAAACAATAAAAAAAAAAAAAAAAAAAAAAAGCTGGAGTGAAATAAAAACCATGGGAGTGCACTGAAGGTGAAGGAAAGCGTTTTTCTATCTTCAGCACCAATGCACTCTCCTCCCAGAAATAAAAGCTTCGAGCTCTACGCACAGAACCAAAAGGTTCAGGGACACTACTCGGGAGAAAACGGAAAGGAAACCAGGAAGCACTTCAGTGACACACTCAGGAGCACACATGTCGGTCTCTGAGGGGCCCTGTACCTGGCTCCCGGCTCCAGGGCCCTGAAGAGAGCAGGGTGGGGGCAGCCTACAGCCCCCTGCTGCGTGTGCACAGAGGACATGCCCAACCCACAGCCCCGAGCCTGGACTCTGCATGGCCACCTGCACTCGGGCCTGCTCATTTCTGTGCCGTCACCGCTGGAGCTAATCATCCCTCACGTGCAGTGGGGCCGGATGAATCACTGATCAGTGTCCCGTCTCCCATCTGGCTGTGCTGCAGACACTCCACTGCAAGACCCAGCCAGGGGGCGAAATTTCATGCTCAAGAATCTAGACTGAAAACTTCTCACACACCAGTCTGCGGGTTGGAAACGTGCATCATGCTAACAAGCAAAGTCCAGTGAAGTGTTTCCGAGCAGGGCAGGGAGGAGCCAGGACGCGCGGGGCCCCGCGAAGCCTCCACTTACTGGCAGACCTGGCAGGTGACGTCCGACTGCAGCCCCCCGGTGAAGATCTGGTCTATGATGCAGTTGCAGTGGTTGGGGTTGCTGGCCTTCTTCCCATTGTCATCACCTGGGGAAAGAGTGCAGCTCAGTGATTCACATCTGTGCCCCCGATCTCCTCGGGAGCGGCCCAACACGCTGTGGGGACACTCCTGGGAAGTGGCCTTGCTTCTGGGACCGTCCCTGCAGGACTCCCGCTCAGGGTTTCTCAGGGTCCCCACACCCGGAGCTGCAGGCTCAGCTCTGCTCAGCCAGATGCACAAGCACAGTTCCCACCCTGGCCAGGGCAACGCAAGGTTTGCAGGGAGCCCGGAACTGCCCAGGCCGCTCACAGGCACAGTTCAAACCCACATTGTTCCAGGGTCAGCTGAGGGAGGAAACCCGAGAACGCTGAGGGCCGACTTAAGTTATGCTCAGAATTCCAACTGCACAGGCAGTTGGTAGCCCCCTGTTCAAGGGTCAAGTGTATATGGGGGAGGAGGGTGCAAATTACAGCTGTGTGTATGTGACAGTTTATTCTTTTTGTAAAACAGTGCTTTTTGTAAATGTCTTTAAATCTATTTTTATTTATTTACTTTTACAAATATAGAAACAATAAGAAACATCAATCAACTGCCGCCTGCATGCCCTCACTGAGGATCGAGCCTGAAACCCAGCATGTGGCCTAACTGGACTAGAACCTGCGAACCTGCCCTCCCCCCCTTTTGTTACTCCTCACGGAGGATATTTCCCACTGGTCTTTAGGGGAGTGGTAGAGAGGGAAAGGCAGAAACATGATGTGAAAGAGATACACCAATCTGCTGCCTCCTGCACAAGCCCTGACCAGGCTCAGGCCAGGGAGGAGCCTGCAACCAACACACGTTCCCTTGCCTGGAACTGAACTCTGAATCCTTTGGTCCACAGGTCGACACTCTATCCACTAAACCAATGGGCCAGGGTGAAACGCTCAATCCACTGAGCTAGACCAGCTGCACTACATGGTTTATTCTTGTATGATTAATTATTGTATTACTAGAGGCCCACTGCACAAAATTCATAAAATTCATGCACCTGGGAGGGGTGTCCCTCAGCTGGCCTGCGCCCTCTTGCAGTCCAGGAGCCCCGGGGGGATGTCTGACTGACAGCTTAGTCCATCCTTACATTGCCATCAGGTGGGAAAGGCCCCCACCACTGCCGCTGCCGCTGCCCTCGCCAGCCGTGAGCTCCCTGTGGGAGCACACTGACCACCAGGGGGCAGCTCCTGCTTTGAGTGTCTGGCCCCTGGTGGTCGGTGCATGTCATAGTGATGGGTCATTCCACCATTCAGTCATTTTAATATTAGCTTTTTAATATATGATACACTGTAGATGAGGCCCCCTAGAACCATAACGCAAAAAATCCAGTTAACTCATTCTCCAATTGCCCCACTTAAAATCAAATTGCCCTCCCTGCCTCGTGGGGCGTGTGCTGCCCCTTGGGAACCACTGGGCTTGGCACTCGTCCTCTCTGAGCTTCGTTTCTGAACACACACACATTAACACGGGAACTGTAATCTCTCCTCCGCCTCCCTCACTGGGTTGTCATGAGGAGATTCTGAGCTGATAAACCTAGAAATGTTCCATCCAGTAAGTGATGTCTAAAAGGGATTATTTTTAAGCCCACGGGTGTCCTCGCAGTGGCAGGTGCTGCCTCAGGGCGGGGGGCATGCTGTTTCCCGGGACTGTGGCTATGGAAGCTTTGCAGAGGGTCACAGGCCTCGGAGGGCGGGCTCTGACCAGAGTCCTGGAGCGGTGGTCGTCCCTGGAGACACTACCAGGGGAGGCTGGAGGAGGTAGGGGAAACTGGGGGGGGGGCGGGGGGGGGAGCAGCGAGGCCGAAGGGGGAGTTACTGCCAAACCTCCCCGCTAGGTGCCATGCTTTAAACTGTGCGTGACCAGTTCCACGGCCGTGCCTGCTCAGGGCGGGGCTCCAACCTCCTGGAGCGGGCTGGGGCCGGGCCAGGGGCCAGGAGGGCGGGTTTAGCTGTGCCCCAGCGAGGTCCAGTGGCTCCCGCTGGGGAGAAGGCGCCGCTGTTGTGTGTGGGGGGATGGGTCTGACCCTGGGGGTCCGCTCAGGCCTGCCTCCACCCGGGTGTGGAGCTGTAGGGAGAAGAGGCATGCCCAGGCCCAGGCCCAGGCCCTGGGTGCCTCGGGTGCCTCGGGGAGAGATCGGGAGTTGGAGATGTGGGCTGCGGCTACCCCCAAGGCTGGGTCTTCCCCCTGCCTGCTCAGCCTCCCTTCCCCCGGTGTGGGGGCTGGGTTAGGGTGTCCGTGCAGGGGGACTGGAAGAGCTCCCGGTGGTCACTTCCTCTTCCTTTTTTGCAGTCCGGGCTCCTGTCATCCCTAGACCCCCAGGAACTTGGCTCTGCCACCCCGCCCCACTCAGCTCTCCCGGGCCATCAGCCTGTCAGGGGGCTGCCGGGGCGCCCTGCTGTGGGCAGCACGGTCCTGGGCAGGGGTGGGTGTGGAGAGCAGCTCTGTAAAGTTTAGTAAGCCCAGGTTGGTGTCGGAATTCAGCTGGGGGGCCGCAGGGGAGTCTGTCTGGGTGGGACATCGCACTAGACCTGGAGTCCCACCCTGCGGCCCCCAGCCCCGCCCACCCTGTGAAGGGTCATGATGCGACAGCGTCCTGGATAATTTGCATATTCCTCTATTTTACGTATATATATGTTTCCCATACAAACAACTATAAACCTATTTTTGCCCCACCCTGCACATAATTTGTGTAGGTATACGAATATAAAATTTACACGGTTAGATATAGTACATGTTAACATATATCCCACATCTTCTATATGACTTTCATTCAACTAGAGAATGGGCTAGAACATGTGTCCTGCGTACACTACAGAGAAAGCCAGATTATCACGAGTAACGTGAAGGGCAGCCACAGCCTGACAGCAGCTGCCTAGAGAGCGGAGGCAATGCCACCCACGAGGATCTAAAACTCACGGGACAAAACGTGATGACGCAGAGATGCGTACCGGCGAGCGGAAGCCGATCTGAGGCCACCCATAAAGAGCCGCAGAAGCAGGTGTGGGTACGTCAGCCCGGCCCCCCACTCCCCCCCGCCCCCCCCCGCCCCGTGAGCCAGCAGCTCCATGAGCTCGGAATCAGAGGGTCCTGCTCCTAGTGAGCCTCACGCTGGTTTCAAAGCAATCGTGTCAGAAGTAGGCCACGTGGCTTCATCCTTTTTTCGTCATGCGAACATTCAACAGCGTTCCAACATCTCAGTGCCACTGCAGCACTGAGCGAGGGCGCCTTCACGGCTGGCTGTGCCAGCGCTTACACTTTGCCTGGGAAAGCACACCTCACCTAGGCTACTAGGCAGCTTCCATCGGCCCCGGGCAGACGTTAACGGTGACACATCTGCTGGCAGGAGGAAGCGCCAGCCTGAGCCAGGACAGCTGGCCCCAACGCCTGTCTGAGCTGGAGCCTCGGACTCACAGGCGTCTGAACGGCCCACACCCAGGCCTGAGGCGCAGCGTGAGGCTGTACGACCAAGTGCCCCAGAACAGCAGGGCCTGTCGGAAAGGACACGACGCACTAGGAGGAGAGAGCTGGCCAGGAAGAGCCCCTGCAACGAGCTTCACCTGCCCAGCAGCCACAGCCGAGCCAGCAGCACCAACAGCCCTCACGCAGGCCCACCACAGGCCACTGTGTGCTCCAGGGGCCCCAGCCCCTCAGCTGGGGCTGCACCGGCGCCCACACAGGGGGCAGGGCTGGAACCCCACCGTGTGTTCCTCAGGCTTCCCCTCCTGCCTCCGCCCTAGGAGCTGCTGCCAGCTGCCCCTCCCCTGGACCCACACATATCTGGGAACCCATGTCCAGTGAGCCCCCGAGAAGACCCAGAAGGAAAGGAATCGGAGTCAGGCCGGGAGGTCCAGCAGGGGCGGGGCAGGGCCGAAGCTGCCCGCCTGAGGAGCTGCAGGTGAGGCCGAGGGGACCCGGGGCCAAGGACTCGAGGCACAGGCACAGGGAAAGAGATGGGGGGAGGGAGGGAAATGAGAGAGGGCGAGAGGGATGAGAGAGAGAGGGAGAGGGGAGAGGGGGATGAGAGAGGGATGAGAGCGGGGAGAGAGGGGAGAGGGGGATGAGAGAGGGATGAGAGGGGAAGAAAGTGGCAGGAGGGAGAGGGGAGGGAGGGAAAGAGGGGGGCAGGGAGCTCACTGCTGCCAGTCACAGGCTGCTGAGGACCACCCATTATGCTGCTCTGCCCTGGGGGAGGGAAGACAACATGGAAACCCATTGCTCCTCTTGAGAAAACAAACTATAAAGAACCTCCTTAAGGTAACTGCAGTTTTATTATTTGGGGGAACTCCGTTAGACACAAATCCAGTGTGAACAGGTGGGCTGCGCCCCGTTGTGCAAAAGCGCGCACTTGACCCCCACTGCCCCCCCATGTGCAGGCGCGGCACCACCTTTGCAGTGCCCCCGCCTCCCCCCCCCGAACCCCACCTTTGCAGTGCCCCCGCCCCGGCCCCACGGCCCCACCTTTGCAGTGCCCCCGCCCCTGCCCTGCGGCCCCCCCTTTGCAGTGCCCCTGCCCCTGCCCTGCGGCCCCCCCTTTGCAGTGCCCCCGCCCCGGCCCCGCGGCCCCCCCTTTGCAGTGCCCCCGCCCCGGCCCCGCGGCCCCCCCTTTGCAGTGCCCCCGCCCCGGCCCCGCGGCCCCCCCTTTGCAGTGCCCCCGCCCCGGCCCCGCGGCCCCCCCTTTGCAGTGCCCCCGCCCCTGCCCCGCGGCCCCCCCTTTGCAGTGCCCCCGCCCCTGCCCTGCGGCCCCCCCTTTGCAGTGCCCCCGCCCCTGCCCTGCGGCCCCCCCTTTGCAGTGCCCCCGCCCCGGCCCTGCGGCCCCCCCTTTGCAGTGCCCCCGCCCCGGCCCCGCGGCCCCACCTTTGCAGTGCCCCGCCCTGGCCCCGCGGCCCCACCTTTGCAGTGCCCCCGCCCCGGCCCCGCGGCCCCCCCTTTGCAGTGCCCCCGCCCCGGCCCCGCGGCCCCCCCTTTGCAGTGCCCCCGCCCCGGCCCTGCGGCCCCCCCTTTGCAGTGCCCCCGCCCCGGCCCCGCGGCCCCCCCTTTGCAGTGCCCCCGCCCCGGCCCCGCGGCCCCCCCTTTGCAGTGCCCCCGCCCCGGCCCTGCGGCCCCACCTTTGCAGTGCCGGTGCAGCACATCCAGGGCGGCTATGAGGAACTCGTGCGCGTCCTGCTGCTCGTACCCCGCCAGGTGCCGGGCGTGCGTCCACACCAGGTGCAGCAGCTTGTACGGGATGTGGGGGGAGCGGTGGCCCGAGTAGAACTGCGCGGAGGAGACAAACGCGGGTCAGGAGCCGGCCGCAGCGCGCACACTCAGCGCCGGGCAGGTCCACGCCCCGCACCTCCTGCCCGCTCTCGTTTTCCACAGGCTGGGGGCGGAGCTACGACGTGCTTGTCAGAGAAGCAGGTCTGTACACTCACAGCCGGATTCTGCTGCTTCAAAAATGTGCCTTAAACACCAGCCTATCTGAATGCATCAACCAAAGTGCCAGTGTAACCGCTTAAACCCACACCTGAAACTGACACGCCCACCATTAGTTTCTCAATTAAACCTGTCTTCCTGTTTGGGCCCAACCAGTTCATTCAGTGTGCTCACTGCCCTGGTCCCAGCAGCCACTGGCCCGCTGTGGGCACGAGGGGAATGGGCCAGAAGGTTGGTGGCTCCAGCTTTGCAGGCCAGGTGGTTTTGGCAGCAACTGTCCACTGTCCCACCTCCTCTGCCGCAGCGCAAAAGCAGCCGGGCCCAGGATGTGGGAGAGCCGGCACAGCAATACTGCCATCAAAGGCGATCAACAAGCAGACCAGGCCGTCTGCTGGCTCCTGTGTCCAACACCTGGAGTCCACATAGGCCCTCCCAGCAGGATACATGTACACCTCCCAGAAGACACCTGGGCCCATGTATACCTCCCAGAGGACACCTGAGCCCATGTACACCTCCCAGAGGACGCCTGGGCCCATGTACACCTCCCAGAGGACACCTGAGCCCATGTACACCTCCCAGAGGACACCTGAGCCTATGTATACCTCCCAGAGGACACCTGGGCACATGTACACCTCCCAGAGGACACCCAGGCACATGTACACCTCCCAGCAGCCTGTGGGTGGGTAGCAATCCATTCTGCAGTTGGGTGGCTGAGCTGCTTCAGCTCTGAGAGTCTTTGCCAAGATTTCCAAGCTGAGTGCCGATGGTCCACCCAAGGTGCTAGAGTGGTCACCTGCCAGTGCCGGTCAGGGACAGACATGGACAGCACAGAGTGTCACCCATGATCCAACCCGGAGCAGAGGCTGGTGAGAGGACAGCCCGGGTGCTGCACTCAGAATGCCCAGCAACAGGAGAGCTCGTGCTCCCGAGACAGGGCAGGGAAGGGGTGCACACACGTCCACAAGCCTCAGAGGACAGAAGGGGTCAGTACTCAGACCAATGTCAGCCTCCTCTCAGCCTCTAAGTCCCCTTCCTGCCAGTGGTCCATCGGCTCCTTTCCTTTGGAAAGACGGAAGCCTTCCACAGCAAACGCACCTCCCTTTATCCTGTCGCAGGCAACCTGGCTCCTGTTTAAGGGGAAGAGAAGACCATGCGGTTTCAGAAACACTGCGCGGGCACAGCTCACCTCCTGGAAGAGGGAGGACATCTCGCACACCAGGCAGGAGCTGGGGCTCTGCATCTCACAGCGGTGCCGGTCGGAGAGGAAGAAGTCGCGCAGCAGCGGTGTGTGTGTGAGCGCCTGCACGATGCAGTTCATGAAGCACGTGTTGCCCAGGTTGATCAGCCCTCGCAGCCCTGGGGGCAGACAGGAGGCGGTGACAGGGCACTGGCTTGCAGGGCTGACCCCAGGGTACCATAAGCTCCTTCACATTCACCTGTCCGCTTCCCTTTGCTCATCCATCCAGGAAGAAATTTAATATTTTTACGCCACTTTTATATAAACTATACAGAGGAATGTTCGTCACCATCATCCCCCCCCCCACCACCCTTGGCACCACTTCAGCCATTGTTTTGACAACGTTATCCCAAGATATTCTTTTTATTTATTGATTGATTTCAGAGCGGAAGGGAGAAGGAAAGAGATAGAAACATCAATAATGAGAAAGAATCATGGATCAGTGCCTTATGCACGCCCCCTACTGGGGATTGAGTCCACAACCCAGGCATGTGCCCTTGACGGGAATCGAACCTGGGACCAGTCCACAGGCTGATGCTCCATACACTGAGCCAAACCGGCTAGGGCCGAAGATATTCAGGCAAAAGACAAGTCAGAAGGGAGCCTAACAACAGAGAGCTTTTTGAAAAGTTCTATTTCTCCAACTGTAGGAAACTCAGGGGAAGCATTCACACGTATCACTGCACGCAGCCTCAACCTGGTGAGAGTACACCTGAGCTTTCGCACAGGGAAGCTCTCCCCATCCCTGCACCCCTCGCCTGCTCCAGGAGCTCAAGAGGCGGCTGGTGAGAGAATGGGAGAGAGTTATTCAGGGCAGGGCCTCGGCTGGGCCATGAAGCCGTTTTCCACAATAACGTTAGCCCTCAGCAAGGAGCCTGATGGAGTAACCGAGGCCAGCGCCAGCCCCGCCACCCACCTATGGTGCAGTTGGAGGTGATCTTCCGCCGTTTGGGGTTGTGTTTCAGCAGCTCGAGCTCCCGCTTGCTTGGTTCCCATGTTGAAAATTTCTCTCCAACACCTACAGAGGAGACAGGCCGGGCGCTGTGAGCCAATTTGAAGCGAGTGTGCTCATAGGGGCACATGGCTTCAAAGGTATTTCAAAGAGGGACCATACTCTAAGGATAAAGCCTATTCGCTGCGACAGGCTAACACGAAAGGAGTTTCTCAGAGTCTGTGCTGGCAATGAGCTGCTTCCTGCACGGAAAGCAACGGCCCACGACAGCCAGCCCAGCGCCAATGCCAGAGCCTTCCCACAGCCTCCCCCTGAGCAGAGCCGGCTGTCAGCGCTGGGGCAGTTTAGATGAGGGATTCTCCGGCTAACGAGCAAAACTGATAGAACATGGGACTTTTAAAAATAATTTGAAAAACACAAGTTTCCATGCTCAGATGTGCCCTTAAAAGATTTAAACCAAAGACAAAGCTGTCAATGCTAATAAGAGTCACACCTCACCTACCACAGCCCCGTGTGCACTTAAGGCACATGCTCCGTGCCCTGAACACCCTGCACAGTAACTGCGACAGGACAGCACCGTGCTGACTGAGGGCCTGGCAGCGAGGCCCGGGGAGGCCTGTGCCTGGTGGGTCAGTGTTCTGCGCAAAGACCCAGGGGCAATGCTACTACATTTCTGAGGGGAAAAGAATAGGAAGTTGAGCCAAAACTGGTTGGGCTCAGTAGACAGAGCGTCAGCCTGCGGACTAAAAGGTCCCTGGTTCGATTCCAGTCAAGGGCATGTGCCTTCGTTGCGGGCACATCCCCAGTAGGGAGTGTGCAAGAGGCAGCTGGCCAATGATTCTCTCTCATCGATGTTTCTAACTCTCTACCTCCCTTTCTCTCTGTAAAAAAAAAAAAAAAAAAAAAAAAAAAAAAAAAAAATCAATATATTTTTTTAAATAGAAAGTTGAAGTTAAAGTTGTTCTCCAGAGAAGATTTGTTAAAATAAGCAATTTTATCACACCCATGTCTATGCTTCCTTTCTCAAAAACAATGGACTGTTTGTGAAGCAGAACATGCAGGCCAGCTGGGAGCAGATGGGGCTACGCTCTCTCTGTAAACACTGGCGGCACGCTCCATCCTGTCCTAACAGCACCAGCACACGTTTGAAATGAAAACTAATAAAGGGGGGATCAGGGTGACCAAGAAGAAATGCCTGAACAATACATAAAATGGTGCGCTTCGCTTGTGTGTATCCCCGCCTCTATGCCCGATGAAGACCTGAGTGTTTGTGGAAGCCAGCAGACTGGAGCCCACAATGGCACAGCCACGAGGCCCTGCACACAAGGGTGCTGAGGAAGTGGTGGATTATGACATTTCCCATCTGGCAATCTTAATTCTGTTAACAAAGATTAAACATAACCCAAACAGTTCAGTTTTAAAAAAGATTCTATAATAATTTAATCAGAAAGCAGTCGCCCTCCTGGAGGAAGCCAGGGACCTATATTTTTGGACCACAGTTGTCTATTTTTGTTTTATTAGAATACAGACTGACATGAAATAAATATTAATTTTCCAAATTCTTAACCATTTCATAAATAAAATAACAGACATTTTATAGAATGTTGCATTAAATAAGATAAAAACATATACATCTATTTTGCCTGGAGCAAAATATTTGCTAGACTGCTATGTCTGAACTGTATCTAGAACGTTCTGTCCTGTGCTTTCTGCCTCAGTGAGGTGAAGGAGCAGCATGCCGGAAAGGGTGCCGCTGGGCCCAGGAAGTACATCCCTGCCTTTGGCTGGCCGAGTTCTCCTGGCAATAAAGCATCCTCGCCACCCCACATCCTTCCTACAGTTGAGTCTCAGCCTCTCGCATCCCCGCCACTGAGTGTGCATCACACCAGGGACACCTGCAGGGGGCTAGGAACACGCTTCCTCTCCATCGCCCCTTCGCATCCCCCAGTCTACGTGCTCTTTTACTGAAGGTGAGTTTGAGTTTTCCCATGCCCCCCTCTGCAGCCAGAGGCCTCAACGTGTCTGTCCCGGAGCGACCTCTTTAGGGCACAGCTGGGGGGGGTGGTCGCTCAGGAGCAGGAACCATCGGTTCTGGAGCATTCAGAATGCTGAGTAAGATGAGAGGCACCCCAAAGCTCCATCCTGGGCCCAGGAAGGGCCTATCCCCTCCTCCGGGGGACAGCCAGGCACATAATGAACATTATTGAGGCGAGACTGCTCTCTGGGATCCTGGAGAGCTAAGCAAACTGCTCACCGGGGACCGTGCTCTCCTGTGAAGTGTCCGCAGTCGGGAGAACTACATGTGATGCACCTTGTCTCTCAAGCCCAGCAGAGCCCCCCAACAGCCACAGGCCCCGAGGACCAGGGCGAGGCCAGCTCTGGGAGGCTGAGAGAGCGATGTGCACCTGCGCCCCAGGGCAGCCCTGCAGCCCAGGTTGCCTCCGCGGGTTGCAGTTGTGCAGGAGACACAGCTGTCTGTGGGGGGAGGGGAACAGGGTGTTGTCTTTCCAACAAATAGCACAACTCCAGCTGCTCACTTAGCTCCCGCCTCTTCCACGCCTCTTCCTAGACAGCCCGTCTTCCTCTCGGTGAGCTTCTCCCTGACGGCGTGAGGAATGCAGGGCAGGGAAACGAGGGGGCAGGCAAAGCGAGGCGAGACCCACCTTGCAGTTTCCAAGCTTTCCGCTGCTCCTCCTTGGCGATGGTTTCCATGTCCTTGTCATAGATGTAGTCCTGGCACAAAAAGCAATAGATGCCTCCATACATCAGTTCTATGGCTGGAGAGACAGAGGGAGAGAGAGGACAAAGGTGACTGGAAACGAATCGGACACACAGTGCTTTCGACAAGGGCTGTGTGCAGCATCCCCTGTCCACCGCACAGCCCTCACTGCAAGGCTCCTCCCCTCAGGCAGCATGTCCCACGCAGACGACGTGGGCCTCTGCTCGGGACACCCCATCAGGCTGAGGTGCCACATCCATCGTTTTTAAAGAACCCAATAGTCAAGTATCTGAAAGAGTAACATTTAAATAAAGGGAAACTCTCATTGCGTTTTAAATAAAAAGTCTTGCCTGATATTCAGTAACCATGGTTTCCTACACCTGGAATTCCCGGTCCTATTACAAACAGGAATGCAGGAACTGTTTCCTACTCTTATTCTAAGGAGAGCAGTAAATTATTCTCTGACCAGACAGTGCTGACTTCTTGACCAGAGCTGCCAGTTACCCACCTTGAGTGGGTCCTGTGTACTTTCTCAATCTCTGTAAAATAGGGAGACAGCCGATTTCAAATTAGTTCATTATAAAGGTAAATAAGATGAAGCTCTTTGAGCAATGGACAATTGAACTGAATGAGTATCAATTCAACAATTTAAAGGAATTATTTTGGCTTGGAGTCAACAAGCATTATCAGATTTGAGAGGCAAGAGCATGGAGGAAACAGCACAAACTTAGAGTAACGGGTGATTCAGCGCTGTGCCTGGTAGTCATGCTCTTTGAGAAATTATTCCCCGCCTGTCCCGTTTGGTATCATGGATCCTCCCAGTCCTGTCTGGTCACTGGTCAGCGCATGGACACTGCGGCCGTCCCGGTGCGCAGCCACACCGTGACCCGCAGCTCCTCCCAGTGCGTCTCCCGCGACCACGACTCAGCTCAGAGCACTGGCAGGCCTGCCAGGTCCTCTGGAACAGGCCCTTCCAACACACCCAGCAGGACATGAGCCCGCCTCCCCAACCAGACCCAACACACTCCCTGCACGTCACCACAGGCTAACAGCACAGTCCTGCATGAGGATACCCATGGGACAAGCTAAACAGGGAGAAGAAACATTTTCAGAAAAGCAAAGGCATTCCATGAAAAATACGCCAAGCAGACAGCCAATCACAAAACTCCCAGCCAGGAAGAGGCATGCCATTATCTAGGGTGTGTTCACACGCACTGTGCAAACTAACACGGGGTGGGGGGGTCAACAGTGGAAAGACAGCCTTCTCAACAAGCAGTGCGGGGACAACGCGGTCCCACAGGCCAGAGTGAGGCTGGACCCTCACCCGACAAAACAGACACCAACTCACTGGACCTGGGACCTAAACGCCGAGGGAGCCAAAATACAGAGACACAGAAGCATGTCACGAATGGATGAGATGGAGGAAAGTAAACTACTGGTCGACACAGAGTTCAGAACCACATTTATAAGGTTATTCAAGAGTCTTCTAAAAACCTTTGAGAAACTTGATGAGACTTCCAAGGAGCTTAGTGAGACCTTCAAGGACCTTAATGAGAATGCCAAAAAATGGAAAAGGACCAGTCAGAAATTAAGCATACACTGTCTAAAATAAAGAATATTCAGAAACTCAACTGTAGATCAACGTACCCCAAGAGTCAAATCAAAGTTCTGGAATATGAGGAAGCAAAATACACCTAACCAGATAGGCAGAAAGAAGAACCCAAAAGTGTGAGGATAGTGTAAGGAGCCTTTGGGACAGCTTTAAGCATACCAACATCCGGATTTTTGGGGTGCCAGAAGAAGAGAGAGAGCAGGATATTGAAGGCCTATTGAAAGAAATAATGACAGAAATAATGACTTTCCCTACCTGGTGAAAGAAATAGACTTACAAGTTCAGGAAGTGCACAGAACCCCAAACAAGAGGAATCCAAAGAGGAACACACCAAGACACATCATAATTAAAATGCCAAGGGCAAAAGACAAAGAGAGAATCTTACAAGCAGCAAGAGAAAAACAGCTAGTTACCTACAAGGGAGCACCCATACAACTGTCAGCAGATTTCTCAACAGAAACTATGCAGGCAAGAAGGGAGTGGCAAGAAATATTCAAAGTGATGAACAGCAAGAACCTATAACCAAGATTACTCTACCTAGCAAAGCTGACATTCAGAATTGAAGGTCAGATAAAGAGCTTCACAGATAAGAAAAAACTAAAGGAGTTCATCACCACCAAACCAGGATTACAGGAAATGCTGAAGAGTATTATTTAAGAGAAAAAAGAAAAAGGTAAAGGTAAAAAAAAAAAAATGAACAACAAAAAGACATAAAATACATACCTACCAACAAGTGAATCTAAAACTCAAGTGAATAAAAAATCTAAAAAAACAGAATGGATGGTGTATAATAGAATCAGGGACATAGAAAGTGAGTGGACTGACAATTCTCAGGGGGAAGGGGGTCTGAGAGGTGCGGGAAGAGATTGGACAAAAATCTTACATCTATGGATGAAGACAGAGGCAGGGGATAAGGGCATCAGGTGGAGACAAGCTATGGGAGGGGACAAGAGGAACACCTGTAATAATGTGAATAAAGATTTTTTTTTTTAAGACAAAAGCCTCCTAATATTTAAATTTAAAAAGGGGGTGATAATGGAAAAATATCATGTAAGGAAAAATATTCTGCAAGTAAATTACATCTAGAAAATTTGTACTTTAGAAAATTAACTTTCATATGAAATACCCATGAAAGACATACATAGTGTCAAAACAAGCCAGAGGAAAATCATTTGGGGGGGAAAAAAAAGTAAAAGGATCCCAAGTCAAATTTATAGAAAAAATCCCTTTATTAACTTTTGGTCAAGAATATGTATGTATATTTTCAGAAAACAACTCCAGGCCAGCAGGGGAGGGCAGTCAAGGGTGAACAAACCATCAGGGGAGGGCAGTTAGGGGCAATCGGGCTAGCAAGGGAGCAGTTAGATGTTGATCAGGCTGGCAGGGTAGTGGTTAGGGGTGATCAGGCTGGCAGGCAGAAGCGGTTAGGGGTAATCAGCCAGGCAGGCAGGCAGGCAGGCAGGCAGGCAGGCGAGTGGTTGGGAGCCAGCACTCCTGGATTGTGAGAGAGACGTCCGACTGCACTTGAAGGGTCCCAGATTGGAGAGGGTGCAGGCTGGGCTGAGGGACGCACACACCCCATGCACCAATTTCATGCACCAGCCTCTAGTTGTTTATAAGAACCAATCCAAGCACCTAACATTGGACAAATAAACCAACTGTGGTATATCTTCACAATAAGTGTACAAAGGAATCTGCTTCAGCCATACCTTAGCTACTGTAAATTGTGCTGCTATGAACATAGCGGTGCATACATCTTTCTGATCGGTGCTTCAGGTTTCTTAGGCTATCTAGAAGTCCGATACACAAAACTCACGCAAGGGGCTTGGCCCTCACAGCCTCTGCCGATCCTCGCAGCCCCAGCTTTGTATGGAATATAGTCCGGAAGGTCATTCTACTGTTCCATCTAATTAGCATATTAGCTCGTTATTATATATGATTCCTAAAGTGGGATCACTGGGTCAAATGACAATTCAATATTTAATTTTTTGAGGGAACTCCATATTGTGCACTAGGGTTCCCTTTTCTCCGCATCCTCGCTAGCACTTGTCATTTGTTGATGGCAGCCATTCTGACCGGTGTGAGGTGATGCCTCATTGCTTTAATTTGCATCTCTCTGATGACCAGTGGCTTTGAGCATTTTTCAGTATGTCCCTTGGCCACCTGCATGTCTCCTTTGGAAAAGTGTCTATGTAGGTCCTTTTGTGTGAGTTCCTTAAATATTTTGGATGTTAACCCTCTATCAGATGCATCACTGTGAAATATAGTCTCCCATACAGTGGGCGCCTGTTCATTTGTTGGTTTTTGTTGTGCAGAAGCTTTTATTTTGAGGTACACCCATTTGTTTATTTTTTCCTTAGTTTCCTTAGCCCTAGATGTATTCAAAACATATTGCTATGAGAGATGGCTGAGATTTTGCTGCCCAGAAGTTTCTTCTAGGATTTTTAGACTGGCGGAGCAATCGGGGGTCCTGCTGGCACCTGCCTTGGCTGGCCTGGCTCTGCCTGCTGCTACCAGAGGCACTTGGCAGGGAAATTGGGGGCAGCGCCAGCCCATTCACCAGCCAGCCCTGTCCCTTGATAACCCTGCCGCCTCCCTCTACGGAGCAACTGGCAAGGCAATCAGACTTCCCCTCTGCCCTACCCCCCACCCCCCAACCATCGCCTTAGCTGGTCTGGGGCCTGCAGGCTGGGGGCAGCTCCTGCATTAATGCCTGCCCCCTGGTGGTCAGTGTGCATCATAGCACTGGTCATTCCACTGGTTGTTCTGCCATTTGATCAATTTGCATATTAGACTTTTATTATATATTAATAGGATATGGAATAACCAGGTGGTTTAGTTTCATTTTTCTGCATCTATCTGTCCAATCTTCTCAAAACCTTTACTGAATAGACTACTACCTTTACCCATCCCACTGTATGTTCTTGCATCCTTTGTCATAGATTGATCTTTTTAAAAAATATTTTAAAATCCTCACCTATGGATATGTTTTTGTTAATTTAAGAGAGGAAGAAGGGAGAGAAAGAAAAAAAAGAATGTATGTGACAGAAACACATCACTTGCCTCCCACACACCTTGACTGGGATTCAAACCCACAACCTTTTTGGTACAGGGGAGGACGTTCCAATGGAGCCACCTGGACAGGTCTTAACTGACCATTTAGGCTCAGGTTTACTTCGGGTTCTGTTTCCATCATAATTGTAGCTACTGTCCTAGATGGTCTGGCTCAGTGGATGGAGCATTGCCCTGTGGACCAAAGAGTCCTGAGTTTGATACAAGTCAGGGGCATGTACCTTGGTTGCAGGCTTCTCCCCAGCCCAGGCCCTGGTCAGGGCTCATGCAGGAGGCAACCAATTGATGTTTCTTTCACTTCAATGTTTCTTTCTGACTTTCCCTCTCTCTCCCACTCTCCATAAAAATCAATGGAGCCCTAGCTGGGTTTGGCTTAGTGAATAGAGCATCAGCCTCCGGACTGAAGGGTCCCAGGTTCAATTCCAAACAAGGGCACATGCCTGGGTTGTGGGCTAGATCCCTAGTAGGGGTTTGCAGAAGCCGCCAATCAATAATTTTCTATCAGCATTGCTGTTTCTCCACCCCCACCCCCATCAATCCCTCTCCCTTCTTCCCTGAAATCAATAAAAATACATTTTAAAAAATGGAAAAATATCCTCAGGTGAGGATTAACAACAACAAAATTTCAGTAATTGTATCTACTGAAAATAGAAGATATTGAGGTTACAGCTTCCCTGTGTTCATAATAAAACACTGTGTTGTTTTAACATCAATCTGCTTCCTAAGAAAAAAATTTAGGAAAAATCAGACATGCGCTGTGTCAGTCTCAACTTCACCTTCTCTATGTACACCGCTTACAGGAGCTTTAAGGGACACACATCAGCACCGTGACTGCAACCTGTGAAATACCTTTTTCAATTAGAGCACACGAAGCACTTTGTGGCACATTCTTTGGCTTATACCTTTGGAAGTGATTTTTTTTCTTTCTTTCTTTTTTAAAGATATATTTTATTGATTTTTTAAAGAGAGAAAGGGAGAGAGATAGAGAGCTAGAAACATGGATGAGAGAGAATCATCCATCAACTGCCTCTTGCATACCCCCTACTGGGGATGTGCCAGCAACCAAGGTACATGCCCTTGCCCAGAATCGAACCTGGGACCCTTCAGTCTGCAGGCTGACGTTCTATCCACTGAGCCAAACCGGTTTTGGCTGGAAGTGATTTTCTTAAGGATACAGTGACCATCTCACAAATTTAACAGAAACACTATTCTGAAGGAGACAAATGTTTAACAACTACCCTAAGAAAATAGAACCTTGCTTTAAGTGAAGTTCCAGACATGAGAGTTCCATCTGCAAGTACGAAAGGGAGCCAGCCATATCCTGATGCCACACGGTGCTGTCAGCATGTTAGTGAACGGGTATTACTCACAACAATAAAATCCATTACTGAAAGCAAAAAAAGGGCCTATGTACACAGCTCCCTGTTAACACCATCAACCTAATACTGCATTTAAGGTCTTTCTTTGTGAACATTTGCCTAACCTAAAACCTAACCATGTTTTTCAGAAGGCAAGTTGAGGCTCTAATAATCCATCAAAGAAAATTAGGAGGATATAAGGGGTAAGCCATCATAATTTATCAGTTAAAATTACATCACCGCCGGCCATCATATCTCGGCGGTTGAAAGTCGACCTATGAACCAGGAGGTCATGGTTCGATTCCCAGTCAGAGCACATGCCCAGGTTGTGGGCTTGATCCCCAGTGTGGGGTGTGCAGGAGGCAGCTGATTGATGAGTCTCTCTCATGACTGATGTTTCTATCTCTCTCCCTTCCCCTTCCTCTCTGAAATTAATAAAAAGTATTCTTTTAAAAAGATTATACCACCGCAGCCAGGCCCGGAGCAGCAGCTGCCAGGCTGGGAGCGTCCAGGCCCGGAGCAGCAGCAGCCAAGTCCAGAGCAACTAGGTCGGGAGCGGCAGTGACCAGACCCGGAGCAGCTGGTCGTGGAACGAACCAGAGCAACAGAGGCCAGGCCCGGAGCAGCCAGGCCCGGAACAGCTCGCTCCTCGCCTGCCCCCGCCCCATGGCTGCCTCTCAGACATGGCTGGAAACTTTTGCGGGAACTTGAGGATCTGCTGAATCAAGTGATGAAGGCTCAGATCTGGATGTGTTGAGTTAGTATAGGGCTGGGGTGTTGATCTGTGAGTGCCTTGGGTGGGGCCTGGATGAGGCTGGTGGACCTATTGGGAAATGTCTTTTGTGTGAAATGTATCTTTGGGCATGTGGAGGTATTATTGATTTGAGAAAATGCTAAGTAACAGATTTACTATCTGAAAAGGGATTTACTATCGGGGAAAGGGAGGGAGGAAGAGACTGAACATAAACTGTGCACCTATGGATGAGGACAATGGGGGGGTGGGGAGGGAACCTGGTAGAGGGGAGAAGAAATGAGGAACCTTTGTAATAATATGAACAATAAAGATTGATTTAAAGAAAAAGATTACACCACCAACTTAAATGCCACAGGCAAGCTGGGTAAATGACCTGTTTGGGTTCACTTTGTCTTTCGTTTCCCCTGTGAAGTTTCAGAAGAAATGGACTTTAGGAGTGTGGAACTGCAAATCTAAATCCAGACAGGAGAGGGCGGTAACTTCCCAACGCCGTCAAGGCGGCCTTACCCAGGTTGTGCCGTTTGGACTTGGCGTGCTCGTGAATGTGCTTCTTTGTGAAACAGCCGAAGAAGACACAGTGGAGGCAGGAGTGCAGCCTGCTCAGGTGGACCCCACAGACGTGGCAGACGCAGGACTTGGCCTGGAACAGAGAAGAGAATGAAAACCAGCACTGGCCGAAACCGGTTTGGCGCAGCAGTAGAGCGTCGGTCTGCGGAATGAAAGGTCCCAGGTTCGATTCCGGTCAGGGGCATGTACATTGGTTGCAGGCACATCCCCGGTGGGGGTGTGCAGGAGGCAGCTGGTCAATGTTTCTCTCTCATCGACATTTCTAGCTATCTCTCTGCCTTCCTGTCTGTAAAATATCAATAAAATATATCAAAAAAAAAAAGAAAAGAAAGAAAACCAGCACTGGTCCTCAGAGAAATATGTGAGCAAGGGGGTCCATCCATCCACAGGGGCACAGTGTGGGCACAAGGGAAAGCAGGGACTTCCCTCAAAGTGTAATTTTGTGAACAGATCACTCTGTTAATCGTCTCAATGGCCTCCAGACCCCTAGAGGCACCTCCTTCATTTAGCTCAACACTAGGTCCATGTAAGAGCACGTCCACAGTTCACCAAAACCTGCGAGCTCCTTAGATGTGCACCACATTCGATTTTAGAAGCGAAGTCTGCATTCTGTCCCCACCAGCCACCAGGCCCGGCCTCAGCCCCAGCTCCTAGCCCCACAGCAGGCCAGCAACTCACGGCCCACCTGCCCTGGGTCTGGGTAGCATTTTAAATTTGATAACCCCCAACCGCAGCAAATTTAGAAGCAGAAAACAGACAGAGAGGGACATGATCCAAAGCAATATACAAAAACAGGAAAAAGGAACAGTTTTTTTTTTGCCAAGAATTAGACCACAGAAACATAAAACTTTAGTCACAGCAATCATAAGCCCAATGGACAATAACTCATACAGTAACTCAATAACCAAGAAGGTCAGTTTTCTAACACAATATGGCAATCACACTTATTTTAAGTACAAAAGGCCCAGCACACAAAATCGTGCACGAGTAGGGTTCCTAGGCCTAACCTGTGATCTGGGCCATGATCGCTGCCCTGAGACACAGCATGACACCCTGCCACCACCCCATGACACCCCGCGCTGCTCTCTCCTCACTCTGCAATGCACACCGTGCCCTGTGCCGCCCGCTCTGCGAGCTCACCGCCCACATCGCTCCACAAAGCTTGCTCTCCGCACAGGCGTGTAGGAAGCAGCCGATCAATGATTCTCTCTCATTGTTGATGTTTCTCGCTCTCTCTCCCATCTCCCATTCTCTCTGAAATCAATAAAAACGTTTTAAAACAAATACTGAAAGGGCCTCTGAAAATAACAGCAGGCAACACCAACATTACCTGCTGCTTGCTGACTGCTCACTAGACACTGGGCTGTTGTTCTCCTTCAATCCACACACTCGCCATGAGGTGGGCTGGCGGCCCCTCTGACATGGAGGAAGCTTAGTGTAAATGCCGTGACAGGAAAGCCAGGAGAGGCAGAGCTGGAACGTGGACCAGGGCCTGCCTGATCCTAGGAGCCCACTCGCCCTGGCAGCCGGAGACTGTCCCTTCTAAGCTTCCCTCTGCACACACAAGGCCAAGCAAGGGCCCAGCCCAGAAGGGACAGGCAGAGCACTCATGCGTGTGGCGTGCAGGCCTGCGCACCAGTCTGCAACCTTTGCTTCCATAAAACAGGAACCGTGGAAAACTGTCATAAGAGAGCTGCACAGGGGTGTTTTGAAGTTGGCGGGAGACAGCCCGAGCTGAAGCACTGGTCAGAGGGAGCTGTGAGCACCCTAGGACCACAGCACAGATGCTCTTTTACATCCATGCTCAGGCTTTAGGCTTGGGAAGGGGCCAAGCCTGCAATTGGAGGGAAGGGGGTAAAAAATCAATGGAAACATATCCTCAGGTGAAGATAAAAAAAATAAAGAAATGTCATATCCTATGAAAGACACATCTTGAAAATGCCTAAAGAAAGTTGTCATTTTTTCATGGTGAAGGGACCGGAGTCCGTGTTGATGAAAACACCTTGGCGGCTGCGGTGACTGGCAGCGGCTGCAGCAGCGGGGTGATGGGGCTGTGCCTTCCCCAATCAGCCTCCCCACAAAGGGAGGTCAGACTGCAGCTTAGGCCCGCTCTCAATGGGGAGTGGGCCTAAGCCATCAGTAGGACATCCCCTGAAGGCTCCCAGTATGTGAGAGGGGGCAGGCTGGGCTGAGGACCCCTCCCCAGTGCAGCCCCTAGTCCTATAAAACAAAGAGCGAGTATGCAGGAGGTTGTGTGCATAGCCGGAGGCGCCTGGAGGCGGCGGGACCATCCTGTGGCAGGGAGGGCCCCCTCACCAGTCCTTCGCCACTCACCACTCCACTCAGAGCGCCCCGCCACCGCCCGCCGGGGGAAGGAGTGCAGCGCACGCGCCACCAGGAAGCAGCACTCGAAACTCTGCGACAGGCGCGAGGCTTCCGCGCTCTCCTCCAGGGCCCTGACGGCGGAGCCAGAGTTGCTCTGGACCCTGGGTGGAAGCGGGAAGGCACCTGGGGGAGGCGACCAGCCCGAGGGGACTTGTGGGACTGAGGGCGGGGCTTGGAATGGCCAGAGAAGATCGGAGGGGTTGGGGGTGGTGCACTCAAACTCTGGGTGGAAAAGTTGGGTTGAAAGGAAGGGCAGCAGGCGGGTGGGCGGGGCTGCGGGTAGGTGGGCGGTGGCACCTGCAGATGGGCAGGGCCTCTAGGTGTAATGTACCTGGGTACATAAATAAAAATAAAAAAATAAAAACTGGTTTCAGCCAGTCGATTTTTTCCCCAAAGGCACACAATTCCATTAGCAAGAATTTCATCTGATTTTAGGTATCCTGAAAGGTAATGCTTCCCAATACCATTACTGATAAAAGAAAAATTGAGGTAAACATGCCCTACGAGTCAGTGAATCTTAAGTCTTCCCATTATAAACATGCCCCTTCCTATGAGCTGCACATCAGGGATGCTCACTTAGCTGCCAGAGGCCTGGTGACGGATCTGTGCACGGGTGGGGCGTGGCCTGCGGGGATTCGCCGCTGTGGGAGCGCCACTCATCCTGGTCGGCCAAGCGGCTGCGGACCTGCCCCTGCGCGGCTGCTCCTGCTGTGGGAGCGCTGCTCGCCCCGGCCGGCCAAGTGCACCCCGCTATGTAACCTAAATATGCATGAGCTGGATGGATGGCCCGTAATTCCACTGGAGACTCAGTGCGACTTCTTGTTGCCGCCTCCTTTGACCACCAAGCTGAGGCAAAGGACACAGAAGGCTGTCTAAGCCATCAGAGGACGTGAGTGAAGCCTGCCATCGATGCTAACTAAGGGGCCCGAGACAGACGCTGGGGAGCGGCGGACAAGCTGCAGAGTCCGCCCTGGAGGTGGAGAACCCACTAACCAAGCTCCTGCTAGACCCGAGGACCCGCACACGCTGTCTTATGCTTCCTGGGAAACACCGTGGGAAACACCGGGAGGGACAGGGTAACAGACCCCCTGCGCCGCCAGCCGGGACCTGGAAAGGAATTAGGAAGTGAGGCTCGGGAGGAGGAGGAGGAGAGCGCGGGAAAGCCTGCGGAAGTGCTGGGTAAATAGACCCAACACCGGAGGCCACAGAGCGTCTTCCCATCGAGGTAGGTCCCCACCAGCTCCTTAAGAATCTGATCTTCTCTACTGGACAAGACTGATCTCCTTCATTTCTGCATTTAAAAATTAACTTTAAAACATGCCACTGAAGGTGGTAAATGCCCAACACCCAACCTCAAGCTGTAAACTTGAACAACCGCATTTCGCCGTAAGATCCAAGGCTTATTCAGATGAAAAATACCAGTATTTCCTAATTTCCAAATGATTAAGCCTAATCACTCGGATGAAATGTGCACCTAAAACTAATACAACACTACACACTATTTCCTCCGTGCCTACGGAGGTGGTTCATTTCTCTGGTCGAAAAAGGGACCCTAGTCCCACCGGCCCAGCCTCACGGGTCTGTCCAATCCGCTCCCCCTCCGCCGCTGCAAGGGCTTCTCCGCGGCTCCTAGAACCGGCCTGCGAGGACGGCAGCCCCTCCCCTCCACCCGCCCGGACGAGGTAAAGCCGCGGGTCCTGGCCCCGAGCCTGCCCGCGGCGTCCGGAGGGCCTCAGCCCGCATAGGCCCGGCGACTGAGTGGTGTCTTCCTCTCCAGGCACCCGGCCCGGACCCGCGCCCTCCGCCGGGAGGAGGAGCCCGGCCTCCTCGCACTAGGCGGCCAACCGGGAGGGAAAACGCCCTCCCAGGCCCCCCTCGTCCGCCCCAAAGGCCGTGTCCGCCCCACCCAACACCCCCGCCGGAGGCGGAGGGAGACCGGGGGCTGGGGTGACGGGGAGGGAGAGGCGAAGGGGGGAGGGAGAGGCGGGGCGGCGGGGGAGGGGGAGGGGCGGTGGGGGAGAGGCGGAGTGGGGGAGGGAGAGGCGGGGCGGCGGGGGAGGGGGAGGGGGAGGGGCAGTGGAGGAGGGGGCGGGAGGGGGAGGCGGAGGGGGGGAGGGAGAGGCGGAGGGGGGAGGGAGAGGCGGGGCGGCGGGGGAGGGGCGGTGGGGAGGGGCGGGAGGGAGAGGCGTGGGGGAGGGGCGAGGCGGGGGCGGCGGGGGAACAGGCGGTGGGGAAGGAGGGGAGGGGCGGCGGGGGAGGGAGCATTCAGGGAGGGAGAGATGGAGTGGGGAAGGGGGAGGAGAGGGGGAGGTGCGAGACGGGAGTGGGGGAGGGGGCGCCGGAGGCGGGGGAGGGGAAAGGGGGGAGGGTACGGGCGACGGGGGAGGGGGAGGGGAGGGGGAGGGGAGGGTCGGGAGCGCGATCCGGACCCCGGCGCGCGCCCCAAGGGTCCGCGGAGGCCAGGCCGGCCCGGGCGGGGCTCACCTTGCGCCGGCGGGCCTCGGCCGTGCCGCCCCACACGAAGCACTGGTAGATGGCGCGCAGGTTCTGCTTCCAGTTGTCCACCTTGAAGCTGCTCAGGTGCGTGCAGCCCGGCGGCGCCGGCGCCAGCTCCGCGTCCATGGCCTCGCTCTCGGGCTCGGGCCGGGACACCATCGGGGGCAAGGCCCGGCCGCGCGCGGGGGGCGGCGATGGGGGCGAGGACGACGCCAGCGCGGCGCGCGGACAAAGACGGGCCTGGCGGCGCGGGGGGCGCGAGGCCACGGCGCCTCCACGCAGGTCGCCGCCCGGTCCCCCGCTCCGGGCCGCGCGGCGGAGGCTGGGAGCCAGAGGCACCGCCCCGCGCCCGCCATTGGTCGCCCGCTGGCCTTCGTCACCAGCGGCGGCGGTGGTTGGTTGCCAGCGTCGTCCGTCTGGCTCGGGACCGCCTCCCGCTTCCGGTCTCCAGCGGTGAAAAGGCGAGGAGGCTGTCGCAGCGGCCCGGATCCGGTTCGCCCGGGCCGAGCTCTGCCGCAAGGGGGCGGGGCGGCGAGCCGAGCCGCAGGCCCGGGCCGGCCCCCCTGCCGGCCCCTGGGCCCCTGGCTCCGCGCCGTCCGCCGGTTCTCAGTGGCCCTCCGTGTCGGAGGGGCCCGGGCCCGCGCCGCCGCCGCGGTGGGCGCTGCTGCGGGAGAAGGCTGTCCTCCCGGGCCCGCCGCGCCCCCGGCGCCGAGCCCCAGAGCCCTGCGGGCCTCGGGTCTCCTCGGACCGGTGCAATGGCCGCATTTTGGAAAATGAAAATGAATGAAATTAAGTAACAAACTTTCATCCAGTACAGCCAGCCTGTCATTTCAGCATGTAAGAAACATTGCAGGCTTATTCAATAAAATGTTTTACAATCTTTAAACAAAAACTAAAACCAGTATTTTACGCTTCGGTTCACACCAGCCTCATTTCCAGGGCCCGCGGCTGCCGAGGACCACCGGGTCTGCTCGCAGCCAGGGCCGAACCGGGAGGCGGGGAAGAGGTCCTTAGACAAATCCCAGCAACGGCATGTCTTTGGGGAGCAGAGGTCAAGGGTCTGGGGAACTTGCCCGCGACACCCACGAGCCCCGCAGCTGCGTTGCTGCGTTCCTGGCCCGGCTGAGGGACCCGGGTCTGTTCAGGCCAGTCCAAAGCTATGACACGTTTGAAGCATTAAGACTGCCGTTGGCCGAGACGGGTTTGGCTCAATGGATAGAGCGTCGGCTTGGGGACTGACGGGTCCCGGGTTCGATTCAGGTCAAGAGCATGTAACTTGGTTGCGGGCACATCCCCAGTAGGGGGTGTGCAAGAGGCAGCTGATCGATGACTCTCTCTCATCGATGTTTCTAACTCTCTATCTCTCTCCCTTCCTCTCTGTACAAAATCAATAAAATATATTAATAAAAAAAAAAAAAAAAAAGACTGCCGTTGGATAGAAGCTGCAGGGTGTAGAGTTATCATGCTAGCTCTTGGTACTCATTCTCCACCTCATATTGTGTGGGACCTTCCTTTTTCTCCCACCAACTTCCTCATCTTGCTCTCTTTCTCTTCTGAGTTCTGCGGATCTTTCATGTCTCTAGCAAGCAACAAGAAATATTTGAGGGAGGATCCAAGATGGCTGCTCGGGTAGACATCTAGCCGCGGCAGCACACAACAATTTCAATGGACTACAACTAAGATGTAGAGTGGACATTGCCCAGAGCTACAGGTAGTCGACTGACTGAAAATTCTACAACAAGAAGGAAAGAGAAAACCAGAAGGAAAATCAGAGGAGCTGAAAAAAAGCCTAAGGTATGGAGACATGCTGAGCGCCCGCCCGCCCGCCCGCACGCTCGGAGAGGTCGCAGCCTGAGAGGAGGAGAGGGCAGGGTGCTGCCTTTCCTTCCCTAGCAGGAAGGAAATAAAAATCCCAGCCTGGGCTGAACCCCCAAACCGGCAGCGCTGAGCCCCCCGAACCAGCAGCGCTGAGCCCCAGTTATGGGCCAGACCCTGGGGACCCAGGCTCCGGTGGGAGGAGACGGGGCCTTGAGGCAGAAAAAGGGCGAAAAGCAGGGCCCCGGGAGTCGCGCGCAATGCGCGCAGAGGACTGAATGTTGACTCTGATGCTGGGTTGCCCTAGCCGGAAGAAACAAGGCCTCCGGCGGCGCTGGGCCTCAGTCCGGACTGCTCCGAACCCCAGTTCTGGGCTAATCTCTGGGGACCCAGGCTCAGGCAGAGGGAGACGGGGCTGTGAGGTGGAGTCTGGGGAGAGCGGCAAAAGGCCGGGCCCCAGGACTTGCGCACACTGCGCGCAGAGGACAGTCTGTTGACTCTGATGCTGGACTCCCCTAGCGGGAAGGAGAAAAAAAAGCTCTGGGCTGGGGGAACGCAGCGGGGAGCAGGAGCCCCTGCCGGGACGGGACGCCGGCCAACCGGGCACCAGCAAGGAGCCCGGCGACGGGGCCCCTGGGGGGGGGGTGCCCCTGAGCCTTCCACCGCTGAGCGCAGGCAATGGAGGCAAGGCCGGGGGCTGCTTCCTGGGCGGCGCTGTCCCCAGCAACAGGCTGAAGCAGCGCAGGAGCCCGCGGAGAACAAAGGGGTGCCACAGGCCAACCTGGACAAGGACAAAGCTCCCAGGACAAGGAGGAAGAAACCAAAGAAGTTCTCAATGTGAAGAAATCAAGTGAGAGCAAAAGATAGTAAAATTACTTAAGAAAGAATACAAAGAAGTTCTTGAAAAATCAAAGACTAAGTCAGAACTCAACTCAACAGCCAACATTGCAACATAAATGCATTTTAAAAAAAAAAAAAAGAAAAAAAAAAGGACAGAATGTTGGAACCGTGGCGGCCAGGCCTAGAGTGGCCAGGCACAAGGCAGTGGCAGCCAGGCCCCAAAGCAGCAGCAGCCAGAACAAGAGCATCAACAGCCAGCACTGGAGCAGCCAGACCTGGGGCAGTGGCACCCAGGCTTGAGGCGGAGGCGGCCAAGCCCAGGGTGGCCAGTCCAGGAACAACCAGACCCGGAGTGGCCGGGCCCGGAGAAGCCAGGCCCAGAGCAGCCGGGTTGGGAGCAGCCAGACCCAGAACAGAAGTAGCCAAGCCCAGAGCATCCAGGCTGGGAGTGCCCAGGCTCGGAGCGGCCGGGCCCGGGGCAGCCAGGCCCAGAGCAGCCGGGTCGGGTGCGGCTAGGCCTGGAGCAGCGGCTGCCAGGCTGGGAGCGGCCAGGCCCGGGGGAGCAGCCGGTTCGGGTGCGGCCAAGCCCGGAGCAGCGGCTGCCAGGCTGGGAGCAGCCAGGCCCGGGGAAGCAGGCGGGTCGGGTGCGGCCAGGCCCGGAGCAGCAGCTGCCAGGCTGGGAGCGGCCAGGCCCGGAGCAGCAGCAGCCAAGTCCAGAGCAACTAGGTCGGGAGCGGCAGTGACCAGACCCGCAGCAGCTGGTTGTGGAACGAACCAGAGCAACAGAGGCCAGGCCCTGAGCAGCCAGGCCCAGAACAGCTCGCTCCTCGCCTGCCCCTGCCCCACGGCTGCTTCTCAGACATGGCTGGAAACTTTCGCGGGAACTTGAGGGTCTGCTGAATCAAGTGATGAAGGCTTAGATCTGGATGTGTTGAGTTAGTATAGGGCTGGTTTGTTGATCTGTGAGTGCCTTGGGTGGGGCCTGGATGAGGCTGGTGGACCTATTGGGAAATGTCTTTTGTGTGAAGTGTATCATTGGGCATGTGGAGGTATTATTGATATGAGAAAATGCTAAGTGACTGATTTACTGTCTGAAAAGGGATTTATTATCGGGGAAAGGGAGGGAGGAAGAGACTGAACATAAACTATGCATGTATGGATGAGGACAATCGGGGATGGGGAGGGGGTGGAGGGTGGGGTGGGAACCTGGTGGAGGGGGGAAGAAATGAGGAACCTTTGTAATAATATGAACAATAAAGATTGATTTAAAAAAAAGAAGAAGAAGAAGAAGCTGCAGGGTGTAATGGACTGAGGCTGGGATAAGGCGTTGGTGGCCAAAACAAATTGCCAAGCACACTCAGCCTCTGCCCCCTCTGCTACAAAGTGTTCCATTCCCGGACTCCATGCCTTACCCGTCCCGCCCCGCTCCTCAGGGTCATCAGACTCTGCCTGCCCAGGGAGGCCTGCAAGCCTTGCCATCCTAATGAAAATCATACCTATCCTAAACCCCAAAAAAAGGGAGCTTCCTTGCCCTGCTTTTTCTCAAAAGAATTTTTTTTTATTATTCCCTCCATAGTATAAAAACTCCATGAGGGTAATGATTTTTGTTTTCTTTACTTCTATACCCTCAGTGCCCAGAGGAGTCCTGGCTACAAGCAAGTTCTCAAAATTATCTGTTGAATTAATTAACCCAATCTTTTTTGTTGTTGTTAATCCTCACCTGAGGATGTTTTTCCATTGCTTTTCAGAAAGAATTAAAGAGTTGGGGGAGGGGGAAAAAGAGGAACATTTGTAATAATATGAACAATAAAGATTTATTTTAATAAATAAATAAATAAATAAATAAATAAATAAAGGGTGAGAGGAAGGAGGAGAAAAAGAGAGAAACATCTATGCAGAGAGACATAGACTGGTTGCCTCCCACATATGCCCAACCAGGGACAGGGAGCAAACCTGCAACCCAGGTATGTGCCCTTGACCAGGAATCAAACCCATGACCTTTCAGTGTGAAAGACAACGTTCTAACCATTGAGCACACCAGACAGGGCCCCAAACAAACTATTTAAGATCATTCTCAGAATAAAATGCTGGTTAAGTAAGGCACTCTATGGATATCCTTTTCTATATAATAGAATGGTATGCAAATTAACCATCACTCTGCTATACCCATAAGCCACACCCACCAGCCAATCAGGAGTGAGTATGCAAATTATCCAAACCCATATGACTTCAGGCATAGAGAGAGCAGGAGGAAGGCTTGGGTTTCCCTGGCGATGGAGGAAGCCAAGCTTTCCGCACACCCTGGCCGGCCGACGCCTCCACTCAATGCTCCAAAGTTTCAATGATAGAAGAAAAATAAACTCAAAGTGGGACCCAGGTAACAGACAGAGACTTGCCTGACAGCAGCTGGCCTCTCACTGCAACAAGACTTATTTGAGAGGTCTCATACCCATGGTGTGGGCAAGTGGGTT